AGAGGGGCACCCCTGAGCCAGTCCTGCTGCTGCTGGCCCTGGCCTTCCATGTGGGAGCTTCCTTTGGACCCTAGAACCTTGAACAGAATTGACTGTCAGCTCTGTGCAGCTCTGACCACAACACCCGGCAACCTGGAGAGAGTGTTTGGCTCTTGGTTCCAGATGTATCCATGGCCCCTTGACTGCATTGCTCTAGGCTAAGGTGAGGCAGCACAGGACTCAAGGGCCTGGTGGACATTGCTACCTGTGTTATGGTGGCCAAGAAGGAGAAAAAACCTGCATGGGAAGTACTAAGAGGATGGTTGAGTGTGGCCTGGGGTGCGGACACATGAGCCCAATCCTGGTGGTGCCTTCTGTTCAAGCAGCTGCACCACAGTACAAGCTCCCAGCTGCAATGCAGGAGGGTTTCCTCTGAAAAGGGAAACATCACTGTGTTGCAGGATGTCACAGGGTGGGGGTGCTAGTGAGCAGGTCTCCCCACCTGGCAGGACCTGAGCACCTGCAGATCTGGCTATGAAGTGGAAGCCTCCTGTGAAGTGCTCCCAGTGGCCATGGGTGGTGGCACGCACCAAGGGCAGCCTGGGAGACCCAGGGAGATCCCCATCTCAAAGACTTTATGGTCATATTGACTTGGGAACTAATGCTGATCTAAGCCTTTACTCTTAGATTGGGTTCATAAACTATTATTAACTTACTGTGAAAAACCAGCCTCTACCTCAGAGCAAAGCCTGTCCAAGGAAGGGACATGACCTTAGTCCTTGGAAAAACCCACAGGGCACTCCTAAGCACATTCCCACCCTGCTAAGTTGTTTATCTACAAATAACAGGAGAGATCTGCTGTTATCTGCCAGGTGTCCCTGACTCAGTCAGGCTAGGTGGGGATCCATAGCAGCCCCCTAGCAGCCACCAATCAGCATGAGACAGGGAAATACCTGGGATGCCAGATAACCCTCCCAGTGGTTTATGGTGGTTGATAACAAGTTGGGAAACCATGTAGTTCAGCATGTACACCCCTCTTGGCTTAAACCAATCAGTTCAAATGAATACCCCTTTTGTACTGACCAATCACCCCTATCCAACTTGTTCCTGCCAGTGAATGTGCTAATCATGTTTTAGAGTTGTTATTTGATTTTCCCACGGTGTGTGATGATTTGCTATGATGTATGTGAAGTCCCTGCCCTCTCCAAAGAATGTATAAAATTGCTGCATCACCAGTTGCTGTGTGTGTGCGCGGAAGAACCAGCTAGCTCGCAATAAACACCTCTTTGCTGCTTACACCGATCTTGGGTCTCTGGTGGTCTTTGGGGGTCCCAAATTCGAGCATAACAACTGCTCAACCCCACCCTTTTATTATTCCTTTCCTGAGCCTTTCTCACCAAGTTGCTCAGGCTGGTGATGAATTGTGATCCTGCCTCAGCCCCCAGGGCTGCTGTGACTCCAGGCCTGGGGCAAGCTGAGCTGATATTGCTACTTTGTATTTAAACTTACATAAATTTAACCTATTGCTACTTTGTATTTAAGCTTGGACTTGTTTGTTGCTACTTTGTATTTTAAGTGGGGACTATTAAGATTGTAGTCCTTTCCAGGCAGGAGTCCACCCCTAGCATGCAAGACAGCCTTATTTTTTGCAAGAGCCATTTTTCTTGAGTTAAAGGCTCTGACAGTGAGGCCCAAAGGGAGGCACTTGCCTTGGTCAGGATTGGAAAGTGCTTCTGTTTTGAGTGTTGTTGTTTGAGGGGGCGTCCGGGAGCCAGTGTGCCTTTTGACCTTCCACAGCCACCCTTCTAGGTGTATGTGACTTCTACACTGCCGTCCAGCCCTCAAAAATAAGACTTCATGGGGCTGGGATGTAGCTCAGCTGGTAGAGTGCTTGTCTCTTGCGCACAAGGCTCTGGGTTCAATCCCCAGCAACACACACACACACACACACACACACACACACTCCGTGCCCCCATAGTGAGCTAATTCTTTTGTCTTTGATTCCTGGGATTGAGAAACATCTCTAACCTTTTAGAGGTGGTCTGGCTAAATGGTCCAGGCTGGCCTGGAATTGCTGATGTCCTCCCTTGGTCTCCTGAGTCTCTTACAGGGTTGAGCACCTGCCCACCCTGGCCTAAGCTAATTCTTCACATGAAAATAAGTCTGGTATATTGAATGAGGGGGTCAGTAGTGGGGGTAGAGAACCCTTGTCTCTGGGACCCCACTCTGCTCCTCAACTAAACAGGACAGGCAGGGATGAAATGGGAAAATGGTTTCCCCTAGAGGCATTATTTCTGGATGCCCAGCTGTGACCCTTAACTCTATCCTATTTTCAATATGCCTAATTTCTAGTGGCCCACCCTCCCTTCCCTCCCACCCTCCACTCCCCATACTGGGGATTGAGCCAAGGGCTACTTAACCACTGAGCCACATTCCCAGCCCTTTTTGTGTGTGTTTTATTTAGAGACTAAAAGGGTAAAGTTTCTAAGCTGCAAAGCCTGAGTTAAAATGTAAAGGACCAGGCATTGTAAACCTGCTTCTAAACTGAAAAGCATGGGTTAAATTCCTGAGGCAGTTAAGACAATGCCCTACTGGCCATTTAGTTGATTTATAGCCTAGGACTCTGTGTAGCTTGTCACATAAGCATTCAAGACCCTGTGCAGCTTGTCACGTAGGCATTCAAGGCCCAAACCAATCAGTTTGAATGTAACCCCCTCCTTAGGAATGACCTATCACTCCAGCCTGACCTGTTCCCGCCAATGAATGAACTAGTCATGTTTAGGAGTTGTTGTTTGATTTTCCCGCGGTGTATGATGATTTGTTAAAGGGGACTGTGATGTATGTAAAGTCCCCGCCCTCCCCAAGAAGTGTACTTAAGCAGTGCTCAGCCCCTGCTCTGGGCTCTGGGCTGCTCTCCTTTCTCAAGTGGGCACGGAGCCCCAGCATGCTGGAATCTCAATAAACCCCTTTTGCTGTTGCATGAGTCGCGGTCCCTTGGTGGTCTCTTCCTCCGACGTTAGCCAGACCCTTACAAGACAGGGTCTCACTGAGTTGCCTGGGATTACAGGCATGTGTCACCGTGCTCAGTAACTGATGGTTTTGACTTTAATGTTCCAATTGGGGAAATGTCCAATCCTAACCCTTCAGCTACAGAGGGAATTCAGAGTTTTTTTTTGTTTTGTTTTGTTTTGTTTTTTTAAAGAGAGAGAGAGAGAGATAGAGAGAGAGAGAGAATTTTTTTAATATTTATTTTTTAGTTATTGGCGGACACAACATCTTTGTTTGTGGTGCTGAGTATCGAACCCGGGCTGCACGCATCTCAGGCGAGTGCGCCACCGCTGTAAGGGTAAAAGAAATTGAAGTTAAAGTGTAAAAGACTGGGCATTGTAAAGTTTCTAAGCTGCAAGGCCTGAGTTAAAAAGTAAAGGACCAGGTATTGTTAAGTTCCTATGCTACATGCAAAACCTGAAATTCCTGTAGCTGTTAAGACAATGCTTGGAACCGCCCAGTAAATATTTCCCCTGACCGCCTGGTTGTTTAATAACTTAAGGGCTCTGTGTGGCCTTGCACGTAGGCATCACAGGGCCTGGACCAATCAGTTTGAATGTGTACCCCGCTTTAGAACTGACCTATCACCCCCGCCCGACCTGTTCCCACCAATGAATGAACTAATCATGTCTCAGAATTGTTGTTTGATTTTCCCGCGGTGTATGATGATTTGTTAAAGGAAACTGTGATGTATGTAAAATCTCCGCCCTCCCCAAAAAAGTGTACTTAAGCAGTGCTCAGCCCCTGCTCGGGGCTCTGGGCTGCTTTCCCTTCTCGAGTGGGCACGGAGCCCCAGCATGCTGGATCAATAAATCCCCTTCTGCCAATTGCATGAGTGGTCTCTTTCTCTGACGCTTCGCCGGACCCTTACACTGCTACTGCTTGAGCCACATCCCCAGCCTGGAATTCAGAGTTTTTACAGACTTTCAGTGTTATCTGGGTTCCCTGTGCCTTTGATCCCTGTTTTCAAAGGGCCCCCAAGGGAGACTGGGGATGTGGGGAACTGCCAGAGGCTTAGCTGAAAGGAAAGTGACCACAACACTCAGAGCCACCAAGAGAGCTCTATTGCAGCCGGGCAAAAGAGGAGAAAAAGAGAGAGAAAGGAAAAAGAGGGGGGGGAAGCGGAAAGAGAAGAGAAGAGGACAGATGGAGAGGGAGAGAGCGAGAGAGGGAGAGAGAGAGAGCGCAAGAGAAAGAGCAAGAGAGAGGGGCCGGCAGGAGGGAGTTTTCATAGCCCAAATCTAATGAGGTCTCTGGTTCTGCAAGCTGCCTTGTTGGCACACAAGGGGGTTAAGTGTTCAGCCTTGATGGGTGGGGGCTTGGGCGTTTAGGCTTGAAGCAAACAGGTGATAAAAAACCAGACAGAGGGTATGGGTGGCCAGGTCATCCTGCAGCTAACTTTGTTTGGCATGCCCTGCAGACAACTTATTCAGCCTGTCCTGCACCTGAAATTAGCCATTGCTGAGATCTGCTTGGGAAGGTGGTTCTCTGCACTGGACATCCTCCAACCTGGGCTAAGTAGTTGGAGTTGTAGGCAGGAATTAGAACCCAGGTGAACACTGTCTTTTTTTTTTTTAAGAGAGAGAGAGAGAGAGAATTTTAATATTTATTTTTTAGTTTTAGGCGGACACAACATCTTTGTTTGCATGTGGTGCTGAGGATCGAACCCGGGCCACACGCATGCCAGGTGAGCTCACTACCACTTGAGCCACATCCCCAGCCCACTGAACATTGTTTTTAATAAACTCTTGGTGTTGGTCTGTTGATTCTTCAGCATCACTGGAAGCTTGAACTGGGTTACTCCATTAAGTTCTGGGCATGAATTTTCACATCCACCCCCATGGTCACCATATCTGCTGACCTGGGCAAGCATTCTCTGGAGGGCAAAGTAGCCTTCTAACCATTTGGAATTTTATATCCCCTATTATGGGTTGCTATTGGAGACTGAACCCAGAAGAATCTAACCACTGATCCACACCTCCCGTCCTTAGCCTTTACTGACACAGGGTTTTTTAGTAGGTAGTTGAGGTGGGTTTGGAACTCTTGTGTCCTCAGTGTCCCAAGTCCCTGTGTTTAAAGACATGAAAGTTCCATCAAAGGCTGATCACAAGATCCCAAGCTGAAAGAGCTTTTGGCGTGCAGTTTGAAGACTCTGGTCCTTGTGGCCTGGGAAGTGTCCATCACTGCATCTTCCTGAGTGCAGGGCAGAACCTTCAGCAGCCCAGGTCCAAGGATGGCTTTGATCTGCGAAGTGCTGCTAACCGCATGTGGCTGGTCTTACTCAGGTCCATTCCAAACAACCTGAGGACAAGAGTGGGAGATGCTGTTGTCCTCCACTACTATAACAAGGAGGGGCTGGTAGGTCTGAGCTATTGTGCTTTTGGGGGGAGCTGTTCTTTTGGATGTTGGGGTGAATCCAGGACCTTGGGCTCAGCAGGCAAGCCCACTACCACACAGCTGCTTCCCCAGCCCAATATTGTGCACCTTGATCTGGGGAAGTAATTCCATTACCTTCTAGTGACCCTGACTCAACTAGACAACAGGCTAGTCTATGCTCTCTGCTGCTCCCAGTGGGGTGGGGAGGGGTCTGACCTGGGCTGCTGCCCTACTCAGCCACAACTCAGCCCTATGTTTTCCCATGTGGTCTCAGAGGCCCAGGATGGCCTCCAACTGGCCATCCTCCTTCTGGGCCTCTGGGGGGCTAGGCAAGCGCTCTAGGCACTGAGCTACACCCCACAGTCCTTTCTCTGCTTTGAGTTTTCTCCTTTTCTGCAGTCATGGGGGATGAACCCAGCAGCCCTCTGCCATTTAGCCACATCATCAGCCCTTTATTTACTTATCCAGAGGCAAGGTCTAAGTTGCTGAGGCTGACTTTGGACTTTCTCTCTGGTACAGGATTGGACCCAGGGGCTCTTAACACTGAGTCACATCCCCTGCCCCTTTATTTTTTACTTGCAGATGGTCTCCCAAGTTCCTTACTTGTTTAGGGCCTTGCTAAGTGGCTGAGACTGGTCTGAACTTGGGGTCCTCCTGCCTCACTCCCCCAACCCCCACCCAGCTGCCCTGACTGCAGGCTTCAGCTCCACACCTGGCTTGGCTTGGAACCTCCCATCCCCCTGGGCCTCCTGAGACCTGGGGTTACAGGAGTGCACCACCCTTGGGCCTCCTCCCCATCTTATGGGCCTCAATAGTTTAATTCTGATAACCCCAGGAAGAGGCAGCTCCTTCCCTCCTTCTACTGAGGCAGGTGTGGAAGGTGCCAAGTGGTTGAATAACTTGGAAAATGTGTCACTTAGTTGCAGCCAGGGCACTTGAACCCAGGCAGAGCAGGGGTCCCGCTGAGCCTTGGTGGCTGCTCTGCTCAGGGAGTAGGGCGAGGGCTGCGCCAGCAGGGGGCGCAGGAGCGCCTCCTCTCTGCACTGGGAGCTCGGGAAGACCTACAGCTCTAGAGGAGTCCTCCACATTTTCCAAGCTGGGAGTCTGAGTTCTTAACGCGAGGCTGCCTGCTGGAAACCCGTGTCCTGCCCTCCAGAGAGCCAGGGGCCACCGCTCACCAGAGGACTCGGAGCCGGCAGCGCGGGTGTCTGAGCCCCTGGCAGAGCAGCCGCACGCCCGCGTCGCCCAGGGCGTTGTTGGTCAGGTAGAGCTCCGTCAAGTGCTGGGCGCTCCCCAGCGTGGGGGACAGATCCTCACAGGCTTGGGCAGTGAGGCCGCAGCTGTCCAGCCTGTGGGGGGCAGAGCGGTTCAGGCCACGTCCGGCACGTCCTTTGGGGAAGTCCTAGTTTTTTCAGTGCCGGGGGCGGAAGGCCACGAAAGCTACCTCTGAGCCACCTAGGGAGCCTGATGTCATGGGCAAGAAGGTACTAAAAGGCCTGGATCGGCCCAAGGGACACACACACACACACACACACACACACACACACACACACAGCATCGTCCAGGCTTGATGGAATGACGAGGCTACCTGCCGGTGCCCTCAGGCCAGTACGAACCGTCGGGACCCTGGCCGCGGCTGTGGCACCGGTCACGTGGACCTTCCGGGTGAGCGAGGGCTGTCCCTTAAACAGGACCCGGCAGGGAGGACGCTCCCGCCCCCCGAAGCCGCCCCCGAAGCCGCGGACACTCACCACAGCTTCTGGAGCCTGCAGCTCGGGTGCCGCAGCCCCTCGGCCAGCAGCCGCAAGCCCCCGTCTCCCAGGTCGTTGAAGCTCAGATCCAGGTCGCGGAGGCGGGCGCTGAGGCGCAGCACCTCGGAGAGACCCGCGCAGGCGGCCGAGCCCAGCCGGCAGATGCCCAACCTGGAGGGACGCGGGACGGGGTGGCTGGCCGACGCCGGGGTCTCTGCGCCCAGCCCTGTGCTGGCGCAGATTGTGTGACCATCAAGGTGAAAAAGAGACCAAAGGAGAGCGTAGGGGGGAGCAACTCGGACTGTGAAGGCTGGGCCAGTTAATAGAAATGGAGCCCTTGGTGCCGCCAAAGCGCGTCTGGGTGAACCTGCGCTGACCATGCAGGGCAGGGAGACTTTTTGTTGTTGGTTTTTGGTGCCAGCGTTGAACCCAGGGTCACTTAGCCACTTAGCCACATCCCTAACCACCATCACCCCTTTTTCAATTTATTATATTTATTTACTTGGTTCCATGGATTGAACCCATGGATACTGAACTACTGAGCCACAACCACTACCATCCCTTTTTTTTGGGGGGGGGGGAATACAGGGGATTGAACTCTGGGGCGCTCAACCTCCGGAGATAGAGTCTCCTATTTCCAGTCTTATTTCGCATTTTATTTGGAGATAGAGTCTCACTGAGTTGCTTAGCACCTCAGGGTTGCTGAGGCCTGGCTTTGAACTCGGGGTCCTCAGGTCTGGGCCTCAGAGCCTGGCTCTTTTTATTTTTCACTTTGAAACGGCCTCATTGAGTTGGTGAGGCTGGCCTTCAACCAGCAAACCTTCCCCTCAGCCTGCTTCGTGGCTGGGATCACAGGCCTCTGCCAACCACGACCGAATTGAATACAGTTTTCCCAGATATTTTTCCAGGACCAGGAGTGGAACCCAGGGGAACTGTACCACTGACACACACACACCCCGCCCACCCCCAGAAAATATTTTTTTAAAAAAAGTACTGAAACAGGGTCTTGCTAAATTGTCCAGGCTGGGCTTGAACTTGAGATCCTCCTGCCTTTGCCTCCCCAGTTGCTGGGATGACAGGTGTGCACACTCACAGTTGTGCCAGGCTTTGAAGGGGTCTTGAAAGAGGTGACAGAGTTTTAAAAAGGTCACTGGGATGGCCCGGATGCAACATGGCCTGTGTTCCTTACAGGACCTCAGGACACAGGTACAGGGATAAACACATGGTGGCACAGTGAGGTGGTCATCTGGAGACCACCAGGAAAGGCCTCAGGAGAAACCAATCTGCCAAACCCTGACCTCAGACTCCTGCCGCCCGAGCCTGAAAGGGTGGATTGGTCCCCAAAGCCGCCCAGTCTGGGTGTTTTGTTAGGGCAGCTCCAGACCCTAATAAGGCCACATTCTGGGGCTGGAGCTATAGAGCCCAGTGTCAGAGGACTTTCCCTGGAGCAGGTGAGGCCTCAGGTTCCATTCCCAGCGCTGGGGAGGAATGTCAATATAAAAAGCTATTTTTTCTGAGGGTTCAGACTTCAACCAGGGAATTCGGAGGGGGATTCAGTTCAACCCATAACACCAAGTAATTCAAAAGCATCACTTCACTTGCTGCTCACGACAACCATAGAAGGAAAATGCTACAAAAGTGTGCGTTTTTAGTCTCCCGGGCCAGGTCTCTCACTAGCCACTAGGAGCTAGAGTGGACACTGCTCTTGCACTTTGCAAAGCCACACAGGACACACCCAAATTACAAACTTTGTTAAGTGACCTGAGAGAAAGAATCAGGTTATAAAGAATTATGAAACTCGGAATCCAGAGGGCCTCCACGGGGAAGTGACAATTTGTCCTGAATCATAAAAGATGAGCTAGACTTCTCAGCAGGACAGCAGAGGACGGCACAGAGGTCAGCACAGCTGATGGTCATGCCAGGAAGCAAGAACAGACTATGCAAAGGCCACATTCTGGCAGAGAATCTTTGGAGTGAGCTGAAGTAGCGAGAATTCAGGTGGGAGGGGAGGCTGCTTGGCCTCCTAGAGCATAGAGAAGTGTGTGAGGGTTTGCACTCCTGAAGTGAGCACAGCGGCACTCACCGCAAGGTCTGGAGATTGCACTTGGGGTGCTTGAGGCCTTCACACAGCAGCAGCACTCCAGAGTCCCCCAGGTCGTTCAGACTCAGGTCCAGCTCGGTCAGGCCCTGGTTCACACTGAGGGTGGAGGCCAGGTCTTCACAGGCAGCAGCGGTGAGATGGCAGATTTTCAACCTACAGAAGACCCAACAGCAAATGTGGAGGGTGTTCTGTGTGGAGTTGAATTTAACTCCCACCCCAAGTTAAAGGTACTGCTCTTTGTTGTGTGGTGGTTGGAGGTTGAACCATGGATGCTTTACCACTGAGCTACACCACGGCCATTAGTTATTTTCAGACAGGGTCTCACTAAGTTGCTGAGGCTGACCTCAAACTTGCATCCTCCTGCCTCAGCCTCCTGAGTAGCTGGAATTACAGGTGTGCTCCATTGATCCTTGCATGTATTTGATGGTTCTGAGTATTTCACACATGTGGAATCCCACAATTTTTGTCCTTTTATGTCTGGTAAATTTCACTTAATATAAAGCTTCAGGATGTATGTTGTGGTAGAAGTCACTCTTTTTTTTTTTTTTTTTTGTGGTCCTGGGGATTGAACCCAGAGCCTTATGCATGTGAAACAAGTACTCTACCAACTGGGCTATATCCCCAGCCCAGAAGTCATTCATTTTTAAGGATGAATGATATTGCATTGCATGGATACAACACTTTTTTGTTTGTTTTCTTTTGCAGTACTGAGGATTGAACCCGGGGCCTTGTACAGGCTAGGCAAGTACCATATCCCTGAGCCACATCCCTAGTCCTCTTTTTTCTTTTTTTCTCTCTTTTCTCCTTTCTTTTCAGGAGACAGGTTATAACTATGTTGCCCATACTGTGCCCCTCCCCTTAATTTAGGATCTTAAAAGTGGTACTTTGGGGGTTGGGGTTGTGGCTTTAGTGGTAGAGAAATTGCTAGCACATGTGAGACACTGGGTTTGATTCTTAACATCACATAAAAATAAATAAATAAAATGAAGATATTGTGTCCATCTACAACTTAAAAAAAAAAAAAAAAGGCTCTTTAGCTAGGTGCAGTGATGCACACTTGTAATCCCAGAAATTTGGGAGGCTGAGGCAGGAGGATTGCAAGTTCAACACCAGCCTCAGCAACTTAGCAAGGCCCTAAGCAACTTAATGAGGACCATCTCAAACAACAAAAAGTGCGGAGATGTGGCTCAGTGGTTAAGCACCTCTGGGTTCAAATCCCAGTAAACTACACCCCCCCAAAAAAAAGTAGCACTTTAATTTTTTTTTTTTTTTTTTTTTTTTTTTTTGCAAGACAAAGTTGATTCTTTCCCTTTTTCACTTAACATTGTCAGATTGTGTAGACCACATTGTATCCATGCAGTCATTCCCCCATGGACGTGTAGTGGCCTCCACCTTGGGCTGTGTGACAGGGGAATGCTGGGCACATGGTGGATGCAATCCTCCACATCACTCGGCGGGACAGGGTTTGCCATGGGAGTTGCCCTCCAAGCACTCACCACAAGGTCCGCAGCCTGCAGCCTGGGTGCCTCAGTCCTTGACACAGCAACCACAGGCCGGAGTCCTCCAGGGCGTTTCCTGTCAGGTCCAGCTCCTCCAGATGTGGGTTGGTGCTCAGCACAGATGCCATCTCCTGACAAGCCCCAGCCTCCAGCAGACACTTCCTCAACCTGGGAGGGAAAAGATGCTTCTCTGCCTTCGGGTTGGGTATGCCTGGCCTGTCAATCACCCTGCACAGATCTATCCCCTGGTCACTCAGCATCAACTGGGGACTTGTCTAGGACCCCTTGAGGATACCATGTGCAGGAGGTCCAGTCCCTTATATAAAATTACATGTCCTCTTATGTATTTTATCTTTAATTTTTCTTTTGTAGAGCTGGGGATCGAACTCAGGGCCTCATGCAAGCCAGATAAATGCTCCATCACTGAGCCTCATCCTCAGCCCCTCTTGTGCATTTTAAATGATGACTTAATAACCTAGATGACTTATAATACCTGATACAATGTAAATGCTACAAAAAATAGTTGTTACACTGTGTCATTTAGGCAAAAATGACAAAGTCTGTATGATCAGGCGCAGGGGTGCACACCTGTAATCCCAGGGACTTTACAGGCTGAGGCAGGAGAGGCAAGTTCAAGGCCATCCTCAGCCACTTGGTGAGGCACCAAGAAACTTAGTGAGACCCTATCTCAAAATAAAAAATAAAAAGGGGCTGGGAATGTGGCTCAGTGGTTAAGTGCCCCGGGGTCCAATCCCTGGTACCAAAGGGGGAAAAACGTGAGGGGGTTGCTGCTGGGGGAGTGGCTTGGGGATGGGGAACCGATGAGCTCAACTTCCATCCCCGGTACAGAAACAAAAACTGTACATGTTCTGTACAGAAGCAACTTTCCTTCTTGAATATTTTCAGTGGAAGCTGGTGGAATCCCTGGGTGTGGAAGCCATGGGCACAGAGCGGACTTCAGAGATGAGGCCCAGCAGGAAGCGCCCTGCTTCCCAGGTACTTGCACCACCGCGTGGGCATAATGCAGCCCAGGAGAGGGGAGTCCTAGCTCAGCCTCTGCGTGTGCACCCGGGGCACCGCCCTCCTGCCCTGGGACTTGGAGTTTTGCGTTTCCCGTGCTGCCTTGTGCCTGCTTCCTTAGGTTGCAAGGGTTGGATGATCCGAGAATGGAGGGAACAGACCTGGGCCTCGCCCCTCCTGGGAGCTCTGTAAGCTGAGCCACTGTTATTAAAAGCATCTCAAAGCATCACTGTTATTAAAAGCGCCTGGAACTGGGCTTTGGCAGATAGGGTGTGCCGCTTGGGAGGAGCCCCGGGGGAGTTGGGCTGGTTCTCAAGGGCCAAGCAGAATTCAGGAGGAGTGGGGTGCAGGTGGCATTGTGGGAAATAGGGGCCCCACAACCCGAGTCTGTTTGTTTAGGCAGCTCTGGGGTTCCCTCTGCTCAGGTCAGTAAGAGGGTGTGGGTTCTGGGAGGGCGGGTCGCTCAGGGCTTCCTGGCCATGCAGGAGAGGGTGGAGTCAGAGGCCAGAGAGTGACTTGAACGTGCCTAGGTGTTGGGCAGAGGTGTAAGGCCATGGGCTTGAGGTCGAGCCCTGGTGTTGAGGAACAGACTTGGGGATCTTCAGCATATGGGGTTCTTTCCAGCTAAGGCGACAGCGAGGTTGCCTGGAGGACTCGCCGTTTGAGAGCTTCTTCCCAGGGGGTGGAAGGGGGAGGCAAATGTGATCAGTGCACATCCCATATATGTATGTAAATATCACACTGGACCCCATTTAGTATTCATTTAATGTGTATTAATATTTCCATTAAAACAAGATGAAACCGAGCACGTATTCCAGGGAGGAGGACTCACCGAATCATCTGCAGCCTGCACTGGGGATGCCGGAGCCCCTGGCAGAGCAGGGACATGCCCCGAAGTCCCAGGTCGTTGCCACTTAGATCCATCCTTATTAAATTCTGATTGGCCGTGAGGGCTGTGGCCAGGTCCTGGCAGGCGGAGCTGGAGAAGCAGCACCTCTTCAGCCTGCGGTAGAAGGAAGGAGAAGAGCCAGGGTCATCTCCTTTGCAGCAGTTTTGGGAATTCTGCACAGGTAGAGCCCCTGCTTAGCATGCATGAAACCCTGGGCTTGAGACCCAGCAATGCCAACAAAGCAAAACTAAAAGGAAAAAAAAAAAGCGAGGTGTGGTGGTGCACACCTGTACTCCCAGTGACTTAGGAAGCTGACGCAGGAGGATTCCAAGTTCAAGGGCAGCCTCAGCAATTTCATGAGGCCCTAAGCAAGCTAGTGAGATTCTGTCTCAAAATAAAAAAATAAATAAAAAGGGCTGGGGATGTGGTTCAGTGGTTAAGCACCCAGGGGTCAATTCCCAGTGCCAAAAAATAAAAGGAGATTCTGGCAGTTAGGGACTGTGGGGTGTGGGGGTAGAGAGATCATTAATGGGTATGGGGTTTCATTTAGAGTCAGGAAAATGCTATGGACGTAGTGGTGATGTTTGCATAACGGTGAATATACTGAAAATGCAGAAATCTACACACTGACTGAATTTTCTGGTATGTGAACTTGATACTTAATAAAGTAACAAAAATTATTCCTGAAAAATGCTAAGAATAGATTTTAAATGTTCTCACCACAAATATGGTCACTTTAAAGGTAATATGTTGATTAGCTAGAGTTTATCATTCTACAATTATATATATTTTACTTTAATTTTTATTTTTTGGGCAGCCCCAAGGATCAAGGCCAGGGCCTTGGACATGCTGATCAAGTGCTCCATCATGGAGCTCTGCCCCCTGCGCAATACCTCTAGTTTAAAGCATCATGTTATTATACACAATGAATGCATCATTTCATCTGTTATCCTCTCTCTCTCTCTCTCACCAGGTATTGAACACAGGGGTTTTTAACCACTGAGCCACATCCCCAGCCCTTTTTGCTTTTTATTTTGAGACAGGGTCTCATTAGGTTGCTTAGGGCTTTGCTAAGTTGTCGAGGCTGGCTTCGAACTTGTGCTTCTCTTTCCTCAGTTTCCGAAGCTGCCGGAATTATAGGCATTTTTGCCACCATGCCTGGCTTTAGCTCTCAAATTTTAAAAGACGAAAAAACTTTAAAGCAACAAAAATAATATAAAATGTTTAGTGCTTTATATTCAATGAAGTGTGTTCACAGAGACTGCCCTTAAAAAAGAGATTTAAGACTCTTCTTTTTTCCTTCCTCTCGTTAGTGGGGGTCGAGCCCAGGGCTACTCCTAATGCTAGGACAGCACTCTACCACTGAGCTACAGCCCAGCCCTTTTTATTTTTTATTAAAGTAGGATTTCAGTATGTTGCCAGGCTGGCCTCCACTTTGCAATCCCTGCTGCAGCCTCCCAAGTCCCTGGGATTACCAGTCTGTGCCACCACGCCCAGCTGTTCCATTTTAAGGATGCAGTGTCACCCCAGTGAGTCTGGAGGCTGAAGCAGGGGGATAGCAAGCTCAAGGCCAGGCTGGGCAAGTCAGTAAGAGCCTGTCTCAAAATAAGAACTAGAAAGGGCTGGGGTGTAGCTCAGTGGTAGAGGGCTTGCCTAGCGTGTGCAAAGCCCAGGGTTCAATTCTCAGCACTGCAAAAAGGTGATTAGGACACAAACCTGTGCCATGTGCAGAGGGATGACATTGGGCAGACAGCCCTCTGAAAGCCAAGGAGACAGTGCTCAGGAAAAACCTACCCTGATGCCACCTTGATCTTGGACTTGTAGCCCCCAGATCTGTTGTTGAGGGTGTCCAGACCATGGGACTTTGTTACAGCAGCAAGTGAACACTGATACACCATCCTACCATGACCCTGGAGAGAGGTGGTGGTCGGCAGGCCAGAAAGTCACGGGCTAGCTGGCACTCACCTGAGGTTCTGCAGCCGGCAGAGGGGGTGTCTAAGTCCTTGGCAGAGCAGCTGCACCCCGCGGTTGCCCAGGGCGTTCCGGTACAAAGCCAGTTCTGTTAGGTCAGGGCTGGTGCGCAGAGCAGCTGCAAGGTGCTCACTGTAGGCATCTGGCAGCCTGTTCCTCTCAGGTCTGCAGGAAGGAGACAGCCAAGGTCTAGCCTTTCTGGTCACTTGACCACTATGTTTGCAGTTTGTATGTCACTT